GGAGAACAGGTGTCGAACTCCGGTCCTGGAGGGCCGCTGTCCTGCATGTTTTCCAAGTCTGCCTTTTGCAACACATTTGATTCAAATGATCAGATCATCAGCAAGCTCTGCGGAAGCCTGACATTGAACCTGTTCATTTGAATCAGGTGTGTTGCAACAGGGAGACTTGGAAAACATGCAGGACAGCAACCCTCCAGGACCTGAGTTTGAGACCCCTGCTATACATGGTCGTTTTTTTCAGCAAAATACACCTTACGATACAGGGTCGTTTTTTTCGGCTCAAAATGCCTTACTGTACATGGTCGTTTTTTGGGGGGCAAAAAACGACTTACAATACATGGTCGTTTTGTTTGGGCTAAAAATGCCTTACTATACATGGTCGTTTTTTTGGGGCTAAAAACGCCTTCCTATACTCGTCGTTTTTTTCGGCGAAAAATGCCTTGCTATACATGGTTGTTATTTTTGGCTAAAAATGCTTCACCATACATGGTTGTTTTTTTCAGCAAAAAATGCCTTACTATACATGGTCGTTTTTTTCGGCTAAAAACTCCTTACTATACATGGTCGGTTTTTTCAGCTAAAAACGCCTTACTATACATGCTCGTTTTTTGGGGCTAAAAACTCCTTACTATACATGGTCGGTTTTTTTTCGTCAAAAAACGTCTTACTATACATGGTCGTTTTCTTCGGCTAAAAACTCCTTACTATACATGGTCGGTTTTTTTTCGGCAAAAAAGGCCTTACAATACATTGTCGTTTTTTGAGGACAAAAAAAACGCCTTACAAATACATGGTCATTTTTTTCAGCTAAAAATGGCTTACTATACATCAGGGGTCTCAAACTCCGGTCCTGGAGGGCCGCTGTCCTGCATGTTTTCCAAGTCTCCCTGTTGCAACACACCTGATTCAAATGATCAGATCATCAGCAAGCTCTGCGGAAGCCTGACATTGAACCTGTTCATTTGAATCAGGTGTGTTGCAACAGGGAGACTTCGAAAACATGCAGGACAGCGGCCCACCAGGACCTGAGTTTGACACCTATGTTCTATGTGCTGCCATGTCAATCTAATGTGCTCAGTGCCTTCAGGTATTGGCAGTTGAATTGTTTCTTTAACCAATCAGATTTCAATTTAGTCTGGAAATCAGTTTGTTATGGAGGCCGTTTATATTAATAAGGGAGATGTTCTCATTATAATACTGTCTTCGCATGCTCCGCTTGCTCTCTCCGCATCAGATGGAAAAACTGAAGAAGGCAGCGGCGGCAGCCCAGACCTACTTTGTGGCCAACCCAACTCACCTGGAGATGAGGAACAACATCGAGAAGTACCGAAGGATGGACGGCGTGAGCGACGAAGCCTTTTACGACCGAGAGACAGACAGCGAGAAGCACTGGGTGAGAAAAACAACAACAATGTGCTTTGACGACCTTGGAAATTTCAAGATGAACAGAAAATACACAATTACCTTGATAGGTGACCTAAAATTTCAAAAGATGGCATTGGTCATTTCAATGGGAAATATTGCCTTGGTTTCTGAACGTTTTGGTTCACAAACCATTCATTAAATTTTGTATTGCATTTTTCGGACTGTAATTGGTCCGGAGTATGTATCGCAAGAGTAAACAAAAATGCATCATTAAGAAGTAAAATAAAAGTCATACTGGACACTAAGTCACATTTTGGGGGGAAATTTAATGTACAAAAAGCAAAACCAAAAACAGAAGAGTTTAGATTGGCACCCAAAATCCCTGTTCCCCTTATCGTGTTGATGGCAGCCAACGAGTTCCATTTTGATTAAAGTCTTGCGCTTCTAACAATGGAACAGTTTGTTTCTTTTTAGTTTAAAATGACTTACTAGAAATCCCGCATTGCACTGCGGCCAAAGATAGAATCCCGCTCAGTTATTGCGTCTTTTGCCGGTGTAAATAGAACATCCTTGGTGTGGCGGAATGCTGGATGCTAAACTAGCTAGCTTGCTTGTTAGTTGCCATGACTGCTTCTTCCAGTTCTTCTTCCAATATTTTTTTTTCTTCAAATTCTTCCACTACCTCTTCCTTCCATTTTTTTCTTCTTGTCATACTTTCTTTTGGCAGTTGGCAATTACTTCTGGTGTATTACTGCCACCTTCCGAAATGGAGTGCGTGCGAGACTATTCAATAGTTTATTATGATTCGAATCAGAAAATTTTGATCCACAACAAGGGTTTATTATTTACGACACCATAAGGCGCAATAAGCAACCAGAAACCTACCACAATGAGATGCAGGATTCTAGTTAAGATAAGCCATTTTAAACTAAAAAGAAAAACTTCTCCAAAGTTAGATGTGGAAGTTTCTTTTTGTCAATAGATGATGTTAGATGTCCCCACCTTTGAAAAAAAAAAAAAAAAAGATCTGGTTTTGTGATGCCCCTCAGTTTCTGTACGATTCGGCACTCCAACTGGAGGAGACGTCCAAGTGGGCGCAGGCGGCGGATGAATGGCGAGCGTGTGTCAACGAAACACTGCGTCAGATCGAGGAGTGCAGGGTGCAGTGCGTGGTGGCTGCGCAGCGTCTGCCTGAGGACCGGGGAGTTGACACCGTCGATGGTGTCTTTGAGAAAGCCGCGGGTAAACAAAAGTGTCTTTGTTCTTCAAAGATGAAATAGGACAGTGAATTCAACACTTTTTTTTTTTTTTTGTCATTCAGCTCTTTCCCTCTCGCTGTTGTCGTGCCAGCAGTCGTGCGTGACACAGGTGGCCACCCGTCCCGGCAGGGTCTCCTCTCAGGACGACTTTCTGCCCACTCAGCTGGAACACCTGCACCTCGCGCAGTTTAAAGGTCCGTGTTTCTGTCGCTTAACGGTGGCATTTTCTCTTACCATCTGCAAATACCCTCAACAGCGGATTCACAGTCATCTATTGACAAAAAGAAACAAATGCTTGTGAGCTCATCCGCACGCATCCGACCTACACGTCATCAGCAGCCCACTCCGCGCTCCGCGTGAGCAGGGAGTGGCCGGCGGGGTGATGGGGGCGGCCCTCATGACGACTGAATGAACGACTTGATGAAGAAAATGACCCAAGGCTTTTGTGCATATTGAATATGATGACTGGCCTACCGGGATTCCTCTTGAAATATTTGTGCAACCTGTCTTCATGCTTGCTCCCAGCTGGAGATGTGAGAGGTGCGGTGCAGACGCTTCGCTCCCTGCTCCTCTTTTACCCCTCAGACAAGGACTCCATCGACAACCTGCAGCTCTACCAAGAGACACTAGGGGGAGACAAAGAGTCACAAGACCCACAGCCTGCGCAGGTCAGGCCTCCATATGAATCCCTCGCATCCTTTTTTTTCTCCATGCTTTTCAGAAATCTAATTTAACTTTCAGTACGGAGTTCAATTAAAAAAGTAAAACTCAAATTATATGGATTCACGACACACACACACAAAATCGCCATCTCAAGAAGTTAGAATATTATGTCATCAAAATGATTTGTTATCTGGAAATTAGGAAGAAGGTCAGCATGGGGCTTTGCACGTATTCCTCACAGTTAAAAGGTTTGGGTTTGAATCTCGGCCCCAGTTGCTCGCGTGGGTTTTCTTTCTAGGATTTTTGTGATGACAAAAAGCCTCGGTGGCGGTCTACAAGTCTGTCTTGCTGGCCAAAATATAATTTTTGACATTTGGGGGAGAAAAAAAAAAGTCATTTTCACATTTTTGTGTGTTCATCTATACAGGACATCGTCCGCTATGTCAAACGCTCGCTAGAGGAGAAGGAGCTTCTTTATTTTGGCATGGAGAACCTAAACTACACCTTCACTGACCCAGTATGTATTTATCATTAGCATTCATTTGCGTCGGGGGAAGAAACTTTTTTTTTTTAAGAATTATCCTCTGCAGGATCTTTGGACACCAGAAGATGTTGTCCCAGAATCCCTGAGGGAATCATGGAAGTAAGTCAAGCTCCCAAGCAAGCCCCCCCCCCCCAAAAAAAAGCAAGCAAACAAACAAACAAAAAAACCTCAAACTCAAACAAAAGTCGACCTGACTTGTGTTTCTTAGAGCTGAGAAGGACAAGATGACTGAGAAGACAAAAGAGGAGGAGCAGCAAGAGGAGGTGGACGACAGTGGCTTCTTTGCAGGTTCAACTCGCCCCCCGTTTAATGGGAAGAATTCCATCTTTTTTTTTTTTTTTTACACTTGCCTGTCCCTCTGGTTCGTCCTTTTCTGCAGGTGGTCCAGTCCGCCAGGTGGGTGTGACCATCACCATGGACGAGCTGCTCCTAAACGGGACCAACCGGGTGGTGCTGGACGGAGTCACCACTGAGAAGGAGTGTGACAGGATGTTGCAGCTGGCCGCAGTAAGTCCGATTACAAGTCGAAGGCTACCGCGGTTCAACCGTCGCAATTCTTTTTTTTTTTTTTTTACGCTCAAGTGGCACAACAGGAATGTGTGTCATGGCAGCATTAAAAAAATAAAAAAAATAAAAAAACTTCCGTGCTGACGCTTGTGTATCTGATGACGTGCGTGCAATTTTGCAAGGGATATGTGGTACTTTACATGTATATGGAAGTGAAAACTATACAGTAAAAAACAAATGGATACAGGCCTTAATCTCAAGTGGACAGTTGGACCTACAATGTAAATCAAGCCTAATTAACCAACTCACCTCATTGTCTTTGTCTGGTCTCTTGACAGGCGGTTGCATCAGCAGGAGACGGTTACCGGGGGAGACGGTCACCGCACACTCCTCATGAGACGTTGGACGGCCTCACCTTGCTCAGAGCTGTCAAGGTGAGACCAAAAAAAAAAAAAATAATCAAAGCGAAGTACAGTAAGACATTTTGTCACACGTGGTATTCAAACACAACAGCTGGCTCAGGACGGCCTGGTCAACCAAACGGACGCCAAGCTGCTGCACGAGCTCGGGGAGAGGGCCCGTATCCTGCTGCATTCCTACTTTAGGAGTCCCTCGGGACTCTTTGTCGCCTTCACACACCTCGTCTGTCGGAGTGCCATTGAAGGTAACCACCAAAAAGGGTTCAGCCCTACAAGGTGTTAAGAGGGGACGGATAGCGGAAGTCCCCCCCGATATAGACATTTTAATTCACACACTTATGAAGAAAATGTATTTTTAAGAAAAAAAATATATTTTTTTGTTCGTGGCGACCAGGGGACCAAGAGGGCCGAATGGATTTGTCTCACCCGGTCCATGTGGACAACTGTCTCCTTGAGCCGGACACCAGGCAGTGTTGGAAAGAACCGCCTGCCTTCATTCACAGAGACCTCAGGTGCACACGTGGACTTTTCGGGTTTTCACCTTGAAAGACTCTTTCGAAGAGTTCAAGATGTAACCAGCACTTGTTCGCCACTGAAATTAAAATCAAAATAAAACGAACATTTCCCCGCACAGCGCCATCCTCTACCTGAATGACAACTTTGATGGTGGTGAGTTCTTCTTCACCAACAGGGATGCCAAAACAGTCACGGTAAGTATTTGACTTTATACTGTATCCAGTGTAGCCCCATTCATGAAGAGGGATCCATTCCGAACCTACCCGCAATATGTGAAAATCCTTAATTTAGAGAGACCATTCAATAAAATTAAAAAAAAAAAATAGTTTTAATCCTCCCACTTTAAAATGTACAGAATTCCTCAAAACTGCTTCTGATTCTTTTGCTGTCAAATAATGGGAGCCGTGACGTTAAGAAAAGAGGAGGCAAAGACTCCTCGCTCGCACGGTTCCGTTGATTTCTTAATCGCGGTTGAAGTTTCTTGTAAAACAGACAGGAAACCAATGCTAGAATGCACTTTGTACAATTAAACAGAAAGCAAATCATATCATTTTGCCGAACAAAAAATTAGCCTCATACGAACAATGTGAAACACAAACGAAAGCTAGCATAGATGTCAACTTTTACTGAAGTGCACACAGTGACAGTGCAGCCCACAACAAAAGAGAATTCAACATTCCAACATGTTTACACTCTAAAAGGTTCACCTCAGCCATATCATTTTGACTAACAAAAGTCAGCTTGCTTCATGCTAACATCAGAGCTGCCAGGCATATTGCAGCACAACATGGTGTTCAACTGAAGGCCCGCAACTCTAAATTTGGAAGTCAAATTTTTACCGCAAAACGTTTTCACAAACGCGGAAGTGTTCATCATATTCACAAATCAATATTTGTGAATATTCATACGCCGTAAGCGAAATCAGTGATGTAGCAGGGATGCGAAGGACAAATTGCGATCCGGTGGGCGTACGCTGGATTAAGTAATTTCTTTCATCCAACTAAGATTCTTGACATTTGTGGCCTCGCCCCGCAGGCCCGAGTCAAACCGACGTGCGGCCGTCTGGTCGGCTTCTCGTCGGGACCCATCAATCCGCACGGCGTTACGGCGTTGACAAAAGGTCGCCGCTGCGCGCTGGCCCTTTGGTTCACCAAAGAGAAGCTCTACAGGGACATGGTGAGTGACGCGACATTTTGGCGTGACGCAGAGAGCGCAATGCAAATCTGCTGGACTGCTGTCGAGTCAACCTTATTGAGTTCATCATCTGGAAAAATGTTACGTATACCGCAACCTTGTCTTTGCTATTGGGGTGATGACATTTACTGTATAGCATTGTCACCGAGACGAGCATCTAGAGTGCAGGGTCAACACACCCGTACAATCCATCATGAGATTCAACAACAGGGTTTGATATCAACCGTTTAGAGTTGCGGTTGCCCTGCCAGAACCGGTTGTCCCCGTATACTCATCGTATGAAAATCTAAAGGCAGAGATTCCAAATTGCCACCCCTCTCTGCCTGCAGGAGCGAGAGGAGGTGGAAAACGGGTGGGCCCCCGGTGGGCAGCGCGTGGCGCAGACAGATGACATGGCGGGCGGCGGTGGCGGCG